GGTTTTATTGTGAGGTTTGTAGAACTATCATTATCATCGTCATCATAATATAACAGAAAACATATTTAAAATTTGATGATAAACTTAGTAATAATATGCTCAATATAAATAATTTGATTACAGTATTAACTGAAAGTAGTTCTTAATTATGCGTGGCCTACTTGAGATGTGCCTTCAGCTTTAAAGATTTTGCATTTCCTTGTGACACACTCCTTGTTTAATGCTTTGATAAATTTTCTTCCTGAAATGTCAGCAGACCAGATACAGCGCATTGTTTCCTGGATTGAAGTTACGATACTTTCAGTTTCTTCCTGACTTTTTCCCCCTTTTGCTCTGTGGCTGCCTGCCAGCCCAAGGAGGTGAAAGTGGTGGCCGCTGCTACGGGTGTACGAATACAAGGGCGTTAACATAGGCCATATCAAGACGTGTGTATTTGGTCTCTCATGTTTCCGCAATGGGTTTTTTGTGCCTGCGAGATAACTGGGTCATTATGGCGACGGGCTGGATGAACTGGGTTCAGTCCCCGACAGGGGTTGAGATATTTTACTTTGCCAAGACGTCCAGACCGGCTCCAGGATCCAGACTCCTATCTAGTGGATATCTCTGATGTCAAGACGGTCGGAGCGTGAAGGCGATCGCTCACATTCATTTGGCGCAAGAAATAAGGTGCTTGAAGCTATACCCTACTGCCTCCACGCCTTCATACACCTACATTGCACTGTGTTTCTCACGTACAGTGTCTTTATCGTCACCTTAATTTATAGAACGACACTACGTCAACTGCATTATGCAAGCGCCGGAATGATTGTGAATGATGAAGAATGCGGAAGGTACAGACCCAGTGATGTCTGCAGCAAATGAGAAAAGACACGGAAACTAAGTCAGGGTGGGCTGCCGTTGGGTAAATTCGAAATACATTGTCGCTGCACCAATCTGCTCGGTCTGTTCACTTCTCGTTGTAAGACTCAGAATGATCGTCTAGTTTCCGGTGTGCCTGTGTGTGCGCACTGCGTGGCATGGGGTCGTTTTATCCCCCATCCTCAACTTGTTGTAGAAGGTGAAAGTGATGGCCGGAGGGTGGAGGCAGGAGGAAAGTTTTTACTTCCTTTTTAATGCTCGCGTTCTATAATAATCTTACACCTTAAAAGCGAAAGGTATTTTTCAGGTAATAAATTCCAATGTTTCCCTTTTATGCTAATGTGTGATGTGGTTTTCTTTATCTTAAGAACTTACTGCCCACATATAAAGTCACGATGGGTGATTATTTTATCTGAGTACCGAATTCTGAAGACGGTTATAACCGAGGGTATATTGGGGCCATCACGTTCTGGGGTACTACTGTATAGAATGTTGAACAGAAACACGAAAGTTAACGTGCCAGTTGGTTTTTGCTTATGTATTTACTTATTGCCTTCACGGATTAGGACATGACTCAGCTTCTTGTGACCTCATTTGTTTGATCAAACCGCCACTTGTAACTATCAAACACTCCAAAGGATTCGAGGAGAGCATTTGGACCTAAGTGCAAAATTAGTGGAGGGACAAAATTGCATCCCAATTTATTTTGCCTCTTGTTAATATCCGTTATTAGAATGAACACAGTCCAATACGTATGGTTTATTGCGCATGTGTTCCGTGTGAAAGGCTGGCCGGTCGTGTTACGTAACGTGTGGTGTGATTTCACTTTTCGCGAGGTGTAATCCAGCCATCTGACGCCTTCATCTGTCGTGGGTGTTAACACATATAAAAGGGTTAACGTTATGCCATATGTCCTGTTCTTCCTTCATAATTTCTCTTACAATTTCATATGAACTTGTGTTATTTTGAACCAAATAAAGATATTATTGCATAACTAAGATGGTAGTTGGCTAGTGGCCAAGAAATTTCTTTATTTTTTGGAATCTTAAGGTTCTTTGCCGTGTTCTAGATAAATTGTCATTGAACCGTATTCCTAGTCTTTTTAAACTAGGAACACTTCCTTCCCCCATTTCTGTGGGATCGAATTTAATATTTCCTTTCAATCTACAGCAAGGCATCCTGAGTAATCGCCCCCTGAGATTTTACAGCCAATTTTTTTTTCTCACATGCTTGTTATGTCTCGTTTACTCCATCATTGCTTTAACCACCCAAAAATATTAAGCGGAGCTCCTCATTGTTTTTCTCCATCGTCTACCTGGATGTTTTCTTCGATGAGATGCCTGGTTGCAGATCCATTAAGTCGGCAGGCGTCACAGGACTCAGGAGCTGACCTGCAGGCGAAGTGATACGGAGTTTCAGTCAGGCACTGAACTCTGTATTCTTGTATACAGAATACTTTATGACCAAGGAAGAACAAATATGATTGATATGCGATGTCACGTAGTTTCCGAGTTTTATGGACGAGGCTACTGCACCAGAAGCCACATTACAATTATAAACTTGAAGGAATACCGGTTTAGAAAAGAAAGCTGCTTCATCAACTATACAGGATTTCTCGATTGGAAGCAAGTAGTTCTGGCATATTAAGAAAAAGTTCCTGATACTTAGTTTGGAGGAATTAGAAATTAAATAATCTGTTCTGCAACCAAGCAATTAAATAAATGATCAATAAATTTTCTGCAAGGTTCTTTATGTCATTTTCTAACTTCTTTCATTATATCCTTCGTGTTTTATTATTCTTTGCTTTTTTAATCGGCTACCACATGTCGTGACCTCGTCGTTACACCCCTGCGTCGTATTCGGGAGTTCTCTAGTTCAAATCTCGGCCCGGAAACCAGTTATTTTGACTGAGGTTTTCGTGGTTTTTCTCGCCCAATCTAGGCAGATGCTGGGATAGCTTGAATTATGCGCTGCCTTACACATTTTATAACGAGGTTCCTTACTGTGAGGGTATTGATCTGTTTCTCATCTCCTCGTGCATGCTACAGGTACCGATCATTACGTACTCCGTCAGATGATATTGTAATCTCGATACTGTAAGTGTGTAAGGACTGGTGCACGCTTCCGTCTGGAAACCAGTGAACCGTCAGTAAACTACATCTGCCCCGGGGTAGACATGACCGAACATAACAGCTCGTTGCAGGAGGGTCCCATGCCACGGTCTTTGTGCATGTTATTGGTAGCGCTTCGCCTGTTCTTTGACATGTGAAGAGGCGAAATACCTAGCGGAACAGAACTACACTTCTAAAATATATTGCAATGAAAGCTCATAATTTTTTCTATGCTTAATCTGATTTAAGAAATAAATGCTTTTCTTGATGAAAGTCTCACGGGTTACAAGCCGTTTCAGGTGGCTGAATGGTGAATAAACCATATCTTCTGCCAACGTTTTGAGAACAATCTCTGCTCTCATCCTCAGGGCTGCTGGGTAACAAATCCGATTTCTTTGTTGCGCTTTCGTTGATGGGAAACTAGAGCAGAGATTATTCTCGAAACGTTGGCAGAATATGTAGTATATTCACCATTCAGACCCGGGAGTCTCTCATCAACTTCAGTCACCGCGAAAGCTTCACTATATACAAATGCTTTAATATTTTGGGTTTGTGAGGTAAAGTATGATTTTTATTCGCAAGAATAATGAACAAAATATGGTTTGTAGCATGCACGGAATTAAATAAAGCTGCAGATAGTAACTTTCTAACAATTAAAAAATCTGAGGAATTTATTTTTCAGTGTATTGATGTGCTTGGTCAGAGGGGAGCCCTAGCTGACCTCAAAGTTATGGTAAACCACGGATCAAGTTGTTATAGACTTTAGATATTCGGTTCAATACCTTACGAGGCATCTGCTATTCTAGGGTTTTTCGTCGCTTTTCTCAGTCATACCAAGCAGTTTTCGTATGCGTCAGAAGTACTCCTTATCTTTATTTTATCACCCTAATGGAATAAGGTAAAGGGTACAAATTATGAAACCTATTATCGTAACATTAATCATGCCACTATGTCTATTCTTCAATACCCTCAAGCCATGATAAAATACCGTAAATATTTTTAATTAAATGTGCTCTTGTTTCTTCTAAGTAACTGAATTCCTGAATAATGTTTCAACACATCTACTAACGAGTGAGTTATACAGTTTATTACTTAAATAAATTATTACATCTTTGCAGTCTAAGTCCACTGAATATATACCGTAATTTTACTGGAATTTAAATAACTCTGGTAGTTAATACATTGTCGCCAAACTTTAAAATTTCAGCGAATAGAAGCTTACTGTCATTTCGTTAGAAGAAATAATTTCGGTAGAAGAAACGGAATAATTAAAAGCTTAGTCTTTTTATGTTTATCGTAACGAAATCAAACACTGAAAACTCTGGTAGTTGATTGATCATTATTAAGTAGTAATATGCAAATTTGATTTGTTGTTTATTTAACGACGCTTCCACAGTGTGTCGATTAAGTAGCGGTTAACGATTAGGAAGGACATGAGGGAAAGTTTCTTGTTTCGAATTGACCTTGAACGAGGGAAACAGAAGCCAGGACAGACTAACTCTGGGCCAGGTTCGGAATCTAAGACGTCATGAATTATTAGCGTTGCGGGTATTTGAATGCAATTATAACGCAATCATACGCTCGTCTCATTTGCCGATGCATTCGACGTCGCTAAACGGACGTTTTGTTTCTGTATCGTACGTGCCGCCACTGAATGGCTGCGGGCAAATGGGCGGCGGCATCAGAGAAGAAGGCAGAAGGAAAGAAAAAGAAATAATAATGATCTTGCGTTCGTTCGTTGGCTTCTCAGCTTTTGTTCGTGACTACTCATCCTGAGAAGCGCCCGACCCACGCTGGCCCGTGCTTGTGGCTGTTGTAGAACTGACGAACATGACGGCCCAATTGCAGAAGCTCTGCCTGTTGTTTGCCAGCGCACATCGGTGTCCAGCGGAACACGGAACAAGTCCATTCAACGTTGCAGTCAGTGGCAAACTCTGCCGTTGCGCGGTGTTCGGAATGACTCGTGTTCAAATTTCGCGTCCCTTCGTACAAAAGGCTGAAGTGGTACCTTAGTCACTGTTCGTAATAATCCGGTTATTATTTATCGGCATTAACCAGTTCGACTGCTAAAACTAATTATATACCCTTGTTGAGACGCTGACAGTCACTCAGCTGACTTGGCTCAGGTTAGAAACCTGTGTCTGTCTTGTGAACAGAATCTCCGGATGCCGAAGAGGGCAAGGATATTGACCAGCTGAGTTACTGACAGCTGTAAGAGGTTTGATGTTTTGCCGACAGTGAAAATACTGCCTTAGTGGTCTTCCGGATTGTGACGACGTATATGTTTGCAGGTGGTTACCATCGTTTCGAAGGAATATATCGCCTCCATCTTCAGGTAAAAGCAGGTACTATCACCTTCTTCGATAGGACCATGCGTAATGGAGATATTAGTTAATAGTATGACACTCACCTAAAACAGTAGCAGCTGAACCAAGCCACAAACTTCTTACACATCGAACCAAATGTACCTTAGACAACGGACAATGCCCGTCTTAATTGTTGTGAAAGGACCTCTGTAATAGTAAATACCCGATTAACAAACAAGCGGCATCGTTTAATAAACAAAGAAATTAATAACTATGAAAGTTCCAATCAACGTGACAGGTTTTAAGAAGTTTGAAGTTCGTTTTATTGGAAGCTGCTAGAATGCCTCTTACATGACGTATGCTGTTTGTTTGTTTGTTTGTTTTGTAATTATTAAAATCAGAGGTGTAAATTAGACGTAGAACAGCTAATGACAGCCTGGCTGTGTAAAATGAGTGTGACAGTCGGTGGTATGAAAGGTGCATAATGATGTCTTTGCAAACAGAAATAGCACAAGGCCTCTTGTTCCTTAATAGAAAGTGAAGGTGTGGCCATTTAATATATCAGAACGCGTGGTGAATAGCATTGTAACGTTTAGAAAGGAAGTTGAAGTAAAAATTATGTGTACGAGTCATTCTGTTGAAAGAGCAGATAGGAATTCTATTTAAACAAAGCCGAATTCCAGAATTTATTGGAGCATATTTCCGATCAGTTGCCAGGATTAAAATAGTAACTTGTTTTCGAGATGTTCGCTGGTAGGACGACGGAAATTTAGATTCAAGACGAAGATGAGAAGAGGAACGTGGAAGGAAGAAGGCTTGGTCAGAAATGAGAAGATTAATTAGTGAGTCGTACTGCCTCCATAATCAGGGTGATGATCGCCCTAATGATGGAGGCAGCAACGACCTCTGAAACGTTGGTAATCTTCTACCAGACTACACGGCGCAACGAGCCAGAAAACGGTCATCAATGTACTCACCACCGTGAGAACCTCAAATCGTACGTAGTAAGTTTTTGTTTTCGTGACGATACGTTTGGTTTATTGGACGAGACTATACTTGTGTCCTCTTGACACCCGAATAAACATCCAGTGAAAGGGAAAGCATATTGAACTTTCCACTGAGACAGGAAGGTCATGAGTTACAACTTAAGCGAACCTTTTAGCATTTTGTTTTTGTTTTGTTGGTAATGCTTCTCCTTCCCCCGTGATAAAAAAAAATGAAGCTCACGAAATTTCCATGGGAAGACTTTGTAAGTTCCTGAATGAACGCACGATGAATGTTGTCGAACGAGTTCTTAAAATTATCGAGGCACTAACTTTTACGTGACGATCAGTATTCTTCGTAATATATCATGAGCATCATCTAATGATATCCACCTGCAACTATTATTACCGTTATCTGTAATCGTGGTTTATGTGGTATAACATTATCCTCCCTTCATTGGGACATTGAAATTTTTATGTTTTGATCATGTGGTCAATTGACCGTTGTATGACAGGTCAAAGGAATTTGTGTTTATTTTATATGATTAAAATTTATATTTTACGGAGTATATAAGTTATATATGTCGTAGTACAACGATGTGAGAAACCTGATTGCATTCATTCATCTTTGTCTAAAATTACAGTCTAATCTTTTAAGGCTCATCCTCCAATGTACAGTAGATTTTTCTATAATCTGTTTTTAAGAAGAACAAACAAATGAATTTATTATGACTTTATAGGTCAAATTTGAACATTTATTTCGAGAAATATGGAGAAAGGAAAAATGGAGGATCTTTTCTAAATTGCAGATTAATTTCAGATGGGTTATAAGAGACGTGTCCCATTTACAATTTCGAATAATCATATTTTTCAGACAGTCTATTCTTCACGCCACTGACCTTGGTATTCATGTACTGCAAATTCATCTTTACCGCACTGCTGAAAAATTAATCTCAGTAAAGATAATATATTACGTAGAATCGTAATTTCCAGTTTTATTTTATTATACATCGTAGTCGACTTTGAGTAACTGATGGAACTTTATTTGAACTCGTTATTACCTACTGGCTATATTTAATCGTTACGAAAGAAAATAAAATAAGATCTGCGTCTTTTAACGGAGACCCAGAATAGCATAAACCATTGAAAGTTGCTGAGCTGTTTTGAAAATGAAACAGCCAAGTTGACAAGCATGACCCATGAAACAGGCTGAATAAAGCAGCAGCTGATTTCTCGAACAATGTTTTCTTTGGTTTACTCTGTCATCTCAAGCGCACGTGACTCTTGTCTTGCTGCATTTGTTATGTACACGTACCATCTTGTCATGACTTAATAATCAGTAAAGTTTTCTCGTTATGTGCTTCTTGCATTAACGGGCTGCAGTGTCTGGCGATCAGCATTACGTCACCTATCTTGACCATAATCTTCTCGTTAAGCTTTCATATCGTAAAAAATGGTCGTCATAGGGACTTAGTCAAATCGTTCGCTTTCAGTATCAAACGTCTTGGGTTCGAGATCAGTCTTATCAATTCAGACGTTTCCCTCATAACTTTCTGTTTCTTTGTCTGTAACGAAGTCAGAACTTTGTGTATGTATTGGATTACCTGGAACAACAGTGATTTGGTTACCACGTCAAGCTGTGGTCCCCTCTGTGGGCCATCATATTAAGTATCTTAGACAGATATGCAGACCCGTAGGCCTACTCAGAAGACGATAGCATTGGGTGGGATGTGAAATATAATTTCGCTGTGCAATATGTGTACACTTTTTAGTAATTTTACTCTTTATGTAAGCTATACAATTATTAATTTATTTCTACTGACTGACATTCTTAAAGTAGTTCCTTCAGATTACTGATTTTTGGTTGAAGGATGTGCTTTTGTTACTGAAGTTCTATAGCCAGTCGGTTTTCTAGTTTCTAACCCGTGACAATTATTCAATATAATATTCCAATTTAAGTATCTACATTCCTTGTTAGACAACAATTGTTCAGTAACAATGGGATGTAATCTAGTTAAGAAAAAACTGGTGGCATGAGAGATTATCTCCAAGAAGAAACGCTGGAATCTTGAACATCAGTTAGGCTTTTGTAAAATATTTCCCAGATGTTATTTAACAGCTCCCTCTGAGCAGTTCAGGAAGAAGACAGTCAAGAGACCACCATGAAATAATGCACTGACGAACCTTAACAAAAATGTCGTTAACTGTTGGTAGCTGTGAACGTTGTTAAGCATGAACCTGTAATAAGTATGAAGTAGGAGTTCTAAGGAGTGTACCATATGTGGCAATGCAATGCATCGTTCCACCTGTTAGCAGGTTCATTGATTTTTATTGCCAAGAATGTGGCATTTTAAAGTAACCAACTAATTTCACGGTTTAGAGTCTACATTGAAAAGTTTTTCTCAGCCGGTCAAGAAACTTCGTATTTTAAATTCTTTTTGTACTATGAGATATTTTATTTCCATGTTCTTAAAAATTTCAAGTTCAATTATGTGCATTTCAGTTTTTCGAGACGTATATTTCTGCTAAAACAAACTGAATGTGGAAACAGTTAAGAAAGCCGAAGATTAATTGCTGTTTTGACGAAAGCTCACCATTAGACTCTATCCTGAGTTACTTAAATAAAATATTCACTTTAACATCCCACACCTCGAAGATCCAATTTGATGTTCCATCCCCCAGAGGTTTCGCGATCAATATTTTATATGAATCTGTCTTGTTTCCCGCATGTGTTTCATGTCCCGCCAACTGAATCCTTGTTGCTTTAGGCCGAATTAATCTGACAGCATAATTATATTCGTATTTAACTGTTCGCTCTTTCTAACAAACAGTTTACTCATATGAGACAAAGAAACGTATATTTTTACTTGAGTAAGAATTTAAGATATTAGATCGTTACACGTGATATTACTTTGTTACGGCCTTCAAAACACCAAGTCAGTTACTGGTGATGATTTCATTAAGATATTTTTTTCTACTTTTTATATTCTACCTGATGTTTACACCTGACTCCGAAAGTAGTTCCATCCGTCAATGAAGTCACCATTTTGAACTGTTTCCGGTTTGTGTTAAGTAATGTTAGATCTTGACTTTAAAATTTTCAGTATAATTACAAGTATAAAGGGAGATTCGCTGATTCACTAAATGCCAGTGATGACTTATGTAATTATTCGGTTTATTAAAATGAATTTATTTAATGCATTGAATGTGTATGCATATTTTTTTAGACACGCTGTATATGCATTAAGGGCCCCGATACTTGCACTTACATCACTTATTAATTTTATTTGTGCGTATTTATTTTTCTGTTTGAATAATAATTTATTTTTGTTGTATATAAGGAAGTAAAAGTGACAAATGGTCGTACTATATTAACAATATCTGTTCGAAAATTTTCCTATCAGTGCTTTAGATGTAATGCGTATCACGAATGACATTAAATGTCAAGACCCACTCTTTATTTAGTAATACGACATCCATCGGTTAATTGAACGAAAACCGTAGGAATTACCGTTGTGGAGAGAATACAAAAATAAAACCACGTGTTCACTTGGGAGTCTGAGAATATTACATGCAAATCTTTGACAAGGGTTTGTGAGATGCTGGCAGGAAATGACTTAGCCCATGACGTGTTGTTTCCATCAACCTTGAAGCCGAGTGTGGGTAGTACCTTCCGTCTTTTAGCCACACATTAATATTCCATCAAGGTTTCACGAACTGCAATGACTGTGGCATCGATGTTGCCTAGGTAACGTATTAAAGGGATACATATGGACATATCATGACTTCTTTTTCTCTTAAGAAGGGAAAGTAGATTAAAATTACTAGTCAGGTAGAGTGGAGTGATAACAAGCGAACAGAAAAATATGACGAATATTGAGGCTGAAACAGTTTGAAAGAGAAACATCAGTTTAGGTCAATGAGACGACTGATTATCTCACAGTTGTTTCCAGTTTTTTGTGAGCTGTTTTAGGTGCATGGAAACTCTATTGTGTGCAAAATGCCTGAACAAAGACCGACGCCATGGCACGTCAGCTTCGAGACTC